TGCAATGCAGGAAGAATATGATGCCCTCCGTCAAAATAATACTTGGACTTTAGTTCCTCACCATCCTTCAATGAATATTGTTGGCAGTCGATGGGTTTACAAAATCAAGGAAAAATCAGATGGTTCTGTTGAGCGTTTTAAAGCTCGCCTTGTCGCTCAGGGGTATACTCAACAAGAAGGTATTGATTTTGATGAAACATTTAGCCCCGTCGTTAAAGCTACTACGTTTCGCACTATTATCTCTATTGCGGTTTCTATGAAATGGAGTATTCGCCAACTTGATGTTAAAAATGCTTTCCTTCATGGTGTTCTTTCTAAGGAAGTCTATATGGCACAGCCTCCTGGATTTGTTCATCCTACTTATCCGCATCATGTGTGTAAATTACACAAGGCCATTTATGGGCTTCGACAAGCTCCAAGAGCATGGTTTCATCGCTTTAGCTCTACAATTATGGACGCTGGTTTCATTTGTAGCAAAGCAGATCCTTCTATGTTTGTCCTTAAATGCTCCCATGGCACCGTGCTTCTTCTTGTCTATGTTGATGATATTATTCTCACTGGCTCATCCGATTCTTTGTTGAGATCTGTGATTCGCTATTTGTCCTCTCGCTTTGCTATGAAGGATTTGGGGCCCTTACATTATTTTCTTGGCATAGAAGCAAAAAGAACTTTCTCTTCGCTTCAGCTTACTCAAACCAAATACGCTCTCTCTCTCCTATCGAAAATGAAGATGCTTGATTGTAAACCATGTTCCACTCCTGTCCCCAGTGGTCGAAAGTTGTCCATTCATGATGGTACTCTTTTGGAGGATCCTGCTCAATATCGTCAACTTGTTGGAGCATTACAATATCTCACTTTCACTCGTCCCGATATTACATATGCTGTCCAACAAGTATGCCAGTTTATGCATTGTCCCCGTGATCTTCATCTACAGGCAGCTAAACGCATACTTCGTTACTTGAAAGGCACTCTCGGGTTTGGTTTACAATTTTCTGTTACACCTTCTTTATCTCTCACTGGATTTGTTGATGCTGATTGGGCTGGTTGTCCTGATACACGACGCTCCACTATGGGTTATTGTGTATTTTTAGGCAACAATCTCATTTCTTGGTCTGCTAAGAAGCAAGCTAGTGTCTCACAGTCAAGTACTGAGGCCGAATATAAGGCTTTATCTACAGCTACCTCAGAACTGGTTTGGCTTTCTTATTTATTCCGCGACATTGGATTGCCCTTGTCTTTCATTCAGTTATATTCGGATAATATGGGTGCCACTCAACTTGCTGCCAATCCTGTTTTTCATGCGAGAACAAAACATATTGAGGTCTCTTATCACTTCATTCGCGATTTAGTTTTCAAAGGTTTCTTGACAATCCGTTTTGTTCGTTCCTCCAATCAGCTTGCAGATATCTTTACCAAAGGGCTCTCCACTCCTCTTTTCTCATCCTTTCGGACCAAGCTCATGTGGACTTCATCCCCATCAGCTTGAGGGGGCATATCAGAGACAAAGCAATACCGATCCCTTTATTCCAGGGGGAACATCCCATATTGGGGAACATTCCATATTGTGGAACATCCCATATTTTAATGCATAGATTTAGGGGATATGTTAGGAATATGTGAGACATCACTCACGTGCTTGACTTATGTGCACAACACTTTTGTATAAATATTGGTTATTGTGAATACAACATCATCGAAGTTTTTATCTCCATTCTTCTTCAGTCACACCTCATTGCCATGACAATGACAACTCATACCTCATTTTCTCCTAAGACATTATGGATACCAGATAGTGGTGCCAGTCATGACATGGTGCCCACTGTTGATCAATTGGATTATGTAACTCCATGTACTTCTGCAAATCAAGTTACTATTGGCAATGGGGTAGGTTTGCAGTTGCTCACATTGGACACACCAATCTCTTTAGTGGCACTTCTAAACTACATATGCACAATGTTTTTCATGTTCCACAACTTACTGCTAACTTTCTGTCAGTTCATCAGCTATGCCAGGATAATAACTATTCTGTCCTTTTTGATAAGTTTGGTTTTTGTATACAGGACAAGGCAACAAACCAAGTTCTTCTCAGGGGCAGGAGCAATAAAGGCATATATCATATACATGGTGCATTTCCTCCAGTCAATTCTTCTTCTCTAGCTGCTGGTTCCTTTTCTCCAGCTACTGCTTATGTGGGACAGCGAATCAAATCATCTGTGTGGCATAGCAGGTTAGGGCATCCTACTAATGAGGTAGTTCAGACTACGCTTAAAACCTCTCAATTACCAGTTCTTGTAGATGCTCATCCGCATGTTTGCCCTTATTGTTTAAGTGGTAAAATGCACACCTTATCCTTTCCATCTACTCATGTTAAGTCTTTAGTGCCATTTCAAAGAATCCATAGTGATCTTTGGGGACCCTCTCCGTGTAAATCCTATGATGGATACAGATATGTAGTGACTTTTATTGATGAGTTTACCGGATATTCTTGGATATTTCCATTGTTCAATAAATCTGAGACCTTCTCAAAGTTTCTTCAGTTTTCTGCATTTATCAAGAATCAATTTTCTGCATCTATTAAATGTCTTCAAACTGATGGGGGAGGAGAATTTATGAGCAAGCAGTTTACAGATTTCTTGTTGAATAATGGTATTGAACATCAAATTTCATGTCCTTATACTCCCCAGCAGAACGGCCGTGCTGAGAGGAAAAATAGACATTTGATTGAGACATCTGTAACCCTATTAACTGCAGCTTCGTTGCCTGAGATTTTTTGGTTTCATGCTATGGCACATTCTGCCTATCTTATTAACAGAATGCCTAGTAAAATACTGGAAAATGAATCTCCGTATTTTAGATTGTTTCATAAACTTCCAGAGATTAAGCATCTACGCATATTTGGTTCAGCTGTGTATCCTTGTCTGAGGCCCTTCACTAAGCATAAGCTTCAACCTCGCTCTTCCTTATGTGTGTGTTTAGGCTATGTGTTGGGCTATAAGGGTGTCCTTTATTATAATATGGAAAATCACAAGGTTCTTATTTCTAGGAATGTTATCCATGATGAAAGTGTTTATCCTTTTAAAGGTCATAAGGTGTCTCCTCCTCAGGACACTTCTTCAGTTTCTGATATGCCTATCAGTGTTCCTTCAAGTGTAGTTTCCCCAACTCTCATACAGATCCTCCACCACATCTTGTACCTTTCATCTCAACACCTACAGCAGAGTTTTCTTCTTCTCATGCCTTTGAGACTTTTATACCTGCAGTTCCTACTGTTCCATTTTTAAGTGAAGCTCAGTTGGAAGCTTTACTCCCTCATATACCATCATTTGGTTCTTCTGAGGTTGTTCCCGACTCAGATAGTTCCTCCAGCTCTACTGCTTCAAATCATGCTAATGAACATCCTATGCAAACTCAAGCAAAGTCTGGAATTAGCAAACACAAGGATTTCTCAGATTTTCATTGTTTCAGTTCGACTTTTCTGCCTTCTTCAGAACTAGATGAACCTGCCAGTTATAAGATTGCTTCTTACTCCTCAGACTGGACAAAAGCTATGCAAGAGGAGATTGCAGCTTTACATATGCAAGGCACATGGGTTTTAGTTCCACCTCCTTTGCATAAAAATGTGGTTGGTAGTAAATGGATCTACAAGATCAAACGAAATTCTGATGGCACCATTTCCAGATATAAAGCAAGGCTAGTGGCTCAAGGTTTTAGCCAGGCACATGGTTTGGATTACTCTGAGACTTTTAGTCCAGTAGTTAGGCACACCACTGTCAGGATTATTCTTAGTTTGGCTGCAATGCATGGTTGGAAACTCAACCAATTAGATATTAAGAATGCTTTTTTACATGGTGATCTTGATGAAGAGGTTTACATGAAGCAACCACAGGGGTTTGAAGATTCTCAACATCCAAATTTTGTCTGTCAACTAAAGAAATTGTTATACGCTTTAAAACAAGCTCCAAGGGCATGGAACTCAAAGTTCAATGGATACTTACCTTCTTTAGGTTTCAAAGTCTCTCAATTTGATCCTAGTTTATTTGTCAAGCATCATGGTTCAGATGTAGTCATCTTACTTCTTTATGTAGATGATATCATTTTAATAGGTTCTAATACGAGTCTCATTCAAGAAATCATTGCTGATCTTGGTTATGTTTTTGAGTTGAAAGATATGGGGCAATTATCCTATTTCTTGGGGCTACAGATTTCGTATCAGAGTAATGGGGCTATTTTTGTACATCAGTCAAAGTATGCAAAGGATTTGCTAGCAAAGGCTGGTATGAGTACATGTAAAGCATGTTCTACTCCAAGTAAACCCCATACTCAGATTTTGCCGACTGAAGGAGAACCCTTAAAGGATCCCACATTGTATCGTAGTATTGTTGGTGCACTACAGTACCTTACATTTACAAGGCCAGATTTAGCATATGCTGTCAATACAGTGTGTCAATATATGACCACACCAACTGATGCTCATTTCTATCTTGTTAAGAGGATCTTGAGGTATATACAAGGGACGTTACAATTTGGTATTCTCTATTCATCTGGTTCTGTTTCTATCAGTGCCTACAGTGACGCAGACTGGGCAGGAGATATCTTAACTCGCAGGTCTACTACTGGTTATGTAGTGTTTATTGGTCCTAATCCAGTATCTTGGCAGTCACGGAAACAAGGATCTGTTTCTCGTAGTTCTACAGAAGCAGAGTATCGAGCTCTTGCTAACACTTCTGCTGATGTTGCTTGGATAAGACAGGTGCTTGCATATCTTCATGAATGTCTTCCGGAGCCTCCAATGATTCATTGTGACAACATGTCTGCTTTGGCCCTCTGTTCTAATCCAGTCTTTCACTCCCGTATTAAACACCTTGATATTGATTTCCATTTTGTGAGAGAAAGGGTTCAACGCAAAGATATCTTAGTGCAATACATTCCAACAGATGAGCAGGTTGCAGATGTATTTACAAAAGGCCTTCATGCACCTGTGTTCTCAAAGCACTGTACCAATCTCAGACTGGGAAATCCAGACTGAGCTTGAGGGGGGATGTTTGGCTATAGCAAGGGTGCTAAGGTGTCAAGACTGTTGCGTTAATCATGGGTGTTAGTTTGTATTAGTTGTTGTAATAGTCACGTGTATCTTAAAGTTAGTTAGGAAGAGCTAGCTTAACTACTAAGCAAAGCCCAAAGTATAAAGGGTTCTGTGTACTGTAATATTAAGGACTCAGTAAAAGAATTCTCAGATAATACTCATTTTCTCTCTCTGATTCTTTGACTCTTCTCCTTCTTCTCAATTCTTCCTCATCTGTTAACACTAAGTACATGGATTTCTTTGTCAATGTTTATTCTATGCCGAGGGGACCGTGATACCATTTTAAATCTGGACCGAAGAACCCATTATCTGATTTTTCTTTTAATTTTAATTTTTTTAAATATAAAAAAGTGTGAATTTATCATATTATCCTCATTTAATTAATAATTTCAATTCTTAATATTTGCATTAACCGATGGCATTTTTTAGTATTTTGAATGTTTTATAATTCTCTGCTTTTTGCTTTATATATAGATGAAGTGCAGAAGACCAAGACTTTGTTTGGTCGACTCGGAAGGGGAAAAAAGACAAACGTTGCCCCACTTTTGGTCCTTTTCTCCATGCAGAAAATATGCCTTTGCATCACATTCAGAGTGTAAAGATTTTGCTGGGCGGCTACAGAATCATTTTATTTATTTAATAAAGCTAAAAAATGACATTTTTCTTTTTTGATTTTGTCTTTTTATGCCTAAAAGTCTTTCCAAATCCGTCACAATCTTCTTTGCTGTAAACATTCCACGTTGGTTTAGCGGAAAGTTCAACACTAGTTCACTACAAACGGGCCATGCAGCAGGGCGTGCATGGCAATGATTGGAACATCAATGGAACCCTAGTTTTTCCACAGAAATTGCATTAATTCATCACTTAATTAGAGGTTGACGACTAACTTTTTTGGTTTTTGTGATAGTGCACATCATAATGACGTCTTAAGCCGATGTCGTAAGTTTTTATAATTTACTTCAGAAAGGGAAATATGAAGTTTCTATCTGGTATGCAATTGTGACTTGGATATTTAGAAATTAAACACCATTTTATAAATATTTGTGTGTAAGTGTTGTTTTGTTTTCAGTATTAATTTACATAAATTGGTGAGAACATATGGTTCTCCCACAGTACTACAGAATCCGGTGTCATATACTATGACAGGTGCATTATAATTTGAATTTATGCTTCATTTTTGTTGACACATCGGACATATGGCATTTGAGAATGCAATTCAAGGAATTGTAACAAGCAAAGTTGATATTTACAATTTTGGGGTGGTTATGCTCGAAATTGTTAGCAGGAAGAAAAATGCAGGATACAACTTTAACCATGAGAGTGAGTATCTCTTGGACATGGTAAGCAAAACTGACAGGACGTACGGTATTTTGTAATATCTCCTACTTGAAAGTGAACATGCACACTTTGAATTCTAAACCCTCATCATTTTACTGCAGGCTTATGTTGTATATAAAAATGGAAGCCTCATGGACTTGGTGGATAAAACTTTGTCTGGCATTTATGATGAAAAACAAGCCATTACCATCTTAACCTTGGCCGTGATGTGCACGAATATATCTGCTACTCTAATGCCAAGAATGGAAGACGTTGTGAGTATATTCTTGTTGGTGAGAAAACCATCGTAGAAGTAGCTTTCTCTCTATCTATCTACTTTTTTGAAATTTCAATGAATTTTCCAGAAGCATTTTTTCCAATCAATCATAAAGTTTGTTTTCTGCTTCTTCCAGGAAGCAACCAATATTCTAAGTCTTTGCCGGTACACGACTCTGGTGGTGGTGGGTCGTCGCTGTCGTCCTCAAGTCACCCCCCACCTCTCTTTATTAGGAGAGGCCTACGATTTCCACGCGTTTTATTTAATTAGATCCTGTCAAATGAGAAATTGTAGAAAAAGACTTTTATTAATTTTTTCATGTGTCAATTTTACCCTTTGAGGTAAATAAGGAAAGAATATTAATTGAAAATTCAAATTAATGTATTGATTCTTTCCTTCTAAATAGATTTCATATTTTAAATTTTGAATCCTTCTATTGCCGCCATGACATAAAAGAAGTTCATATAAAACAATGAAAGTAGGAGAGAATTATTAATGATATCTTCCAAACAAATATTTACATGCCTACTAGGTAAATATGATATAATATACCTAATTATTAGGTAGATATAAGATAATGTACCTAAATACAAGATAAATATAAGATAATGTACCTAAATACTAGGTAAATATAAAATAATGTACCTCATTACTAGGTAAATATAACATAATGTACCTAACACATAAGTAATATACTCTACTATACCTGATAAACATGTAGATTTTAGATAAAATGTGTGAATTTGAGTGATACTATCAATAATCGTAAGACGCCATAACAAAAACATGGGAAAAATAGGAAAAACTGGAAGATAATTAACTATCAAGAAACAAAGGAATCGAAAATGATGTGGGGGGAAACACAAAACCCACTTGTGTTAATGATTAATTGCATCTTAATTAAAGATATTAGGTGGGAATGAACTTTACAGCAACAAAAACGTGATGAAAAAAAGTGAGCTAAACAAAATCAAAAGTAAAACAATGAGGAATTGTATCATCAAAGAAGAAAACAAACCAACAAAATCAGTGGGGAATTGTATTATCAAAGAAGAAAACAAACAAACAAAATCAATGAATAATAAAAGTTGTGGCTGCCATAGTGCAAGAATACAAAGCCACAACAGAAAGAAAGCCAACGTTCATATAGGAGCATGACTGAAATATAATAGCTATTTCAAAAATTATACGAGACGTGATTTGTCGCAGTATTTTCCGTTTATATTATTTTGACAATATCATAATTATTATGAAAAAAATTAATTTCTTACCTTATTTAATTTTTAGGGGCATGATGGGAATAACAAAGAAATTAAAAAATTAAAAAAATAATATGTAAATGTCAAAAAAAGAAAAAAAAAAGAAAAAAAAAAGAATGTAATTATACATGGTGTCCTTTGTATCAATAACAACAAATACGAAGATTGCATCCAACTTCTATTTTCGATTTTGGACTTATACCGAATTTTCTATCTTATAAAATATTGATTAATTTAATGGTAATGTCACATGGGTTCAAAGTATAGTGTCTGCTAATAGCCTACATCACAGTGAGTGCATTTACCAAAGCTAGTAACATGCATGAAACTGCCATATGATTATAATGTTATGCTGTTATCACATTTGTATACCACATTTTCATACCACCTTATGCGGCAGATGAAGTGGACAACCACATCAATTAAAAAATATCAATAAATCATAAAAGAAAGAAAATGTTATGTGGTTGTTCACCTCATTTGCCACATAAGATGGTACAAGAATATAGTATACAAATGTGGTAATAGTAGCATTATTCATAATGTTAAGTATGAAAGTGATAGAAAACCAAACTTCAGGTACGAAAATAAGATAAAAATACTTCGTGTAGTAAAGTTTGAAAGTCGGTAAACTTGAGAGTAGTAAAGTGAAATTTATGCAAAAACATAATATAAGTTCTCATATGCATTTTCTTTGATATAATGAAACGTTTGACCTTTGCTAGTCATGTGTGTTACGTAACGTCAGCACACTGATAGAAAAATTAACGAAATTGGATGACAAGGGCACAATATTGATGTGTTAGACAAACATGGAGAACGGCATTGATCGTCGAGAAAAAGAAAAGACTAAAGTAGTTTCGCAAACATGTATGGATAGTTTTGTGCTAGTAGTTTCGCAAACCAATAGAAAATTTTGTAATAAAACCATTAAATGACGACGTTATCTCTCTCTCTCTCTCTCTTTCTCTCTCTCTACCTTTGACTTCATGAAACTTAAATGATACTATCTATATTAAAATATGGGTTAATTTGTTGGTACTCTAAAGTTGTACCCTTAAGACATATTTGTTCTTACATTTGTCACTATTACCAAAAAAAGAAATGAACATATTTTTAATTACCAAAAAAAGAAATGAACATATTTTTGAGTTAGAGACTTAGACCAGCCCGTTTGACCAAAAAAAAAACCATTCCCTCGACATAGAGAAGCATATATACGCCAATTACAACCATCTGAAATCTTCTTAAAACATTCAGCAAGGACACGTTCTTTCTCATTCTTTACATAAGCAATACGAAATCTCATATGAGCAGCATACTTACACATCTTGTTACGAAATTCAGTTACACCCCCCTCAAATCTCTGACCGTCACGACTAATATATTCCTTCCAGTCCTGAGACAAATAGGCATTGCCTCCATCCAACCTGGAGTCCCCAAAATGGTCATTCTCATCAATGGCACTACGAATTTCTAATGTGCATGATAAAGGTGCTGTACGATTCGAGACTTCACGATTAGACATTGCGCGATTAGACGCTGTATGATCAGACTCTTCACACTTTTGATCACCATTATCATTATTTGAACTCACAAGATCCTTCACCAATATATCAACAAAACTACTCTTCAACATTGTTAAACACATCAACATCATATGCAAATCCATATCAGATTGCAGCAAACAATTAGGGTGGTCAGGAAGAGAATACGTCAGGTCAAAGCTCCCCACTTTCAGTTCCTTAAACCTTAAGCATATCTCATTACAAATATCCAAATATTTACTATTTTCAGACAAAGCAATGACAACAGTTAATGAACGATAACTACACCTTGCTATTCTAGCACTCTCCATCTGTCTACATGTAGAAAAGAACAAATTAGAATAAATGTCTCAACATATTCCTACTGACACATAGTAGCATATCAAATATTTCAACAAGATATAACCTTTAATAACTACATTAATAGTTACTATTACGAACATACATAGCAAATAAAGAATATGATACACATAAATATTTGAAAGCTTATAAATCAATTAAGCCGTCTATGTCTTAAGTTTTTATAATTTACTTCAGAAAGGGAAATATGAAGTTTCTATCTGGTATGCAATTGTGACTTGGATATTTAGAAACACCATTTTATAAATATTTGTGTGTATGTAATTGTTGTTTGGTTTTCAGTATTAATTTACATAAATTGGTGAGAACAAATGGTTCTCCCACAGTACTACAGAATTTGGTGTCATATACTATGACATTGACGGCTGCATTATGCAAATATAATTTGAATTTATGCTTTATTTTTGTTGACGCAGCGGACATATGACACTTGAGTATGCAATTCAAGGAATTGTAACAAGCAAAGTTGATGTTTACAGTTTTGGGGTGGTTATGCTCGAAATTGTTAGTGGGAAGAAAAATGCAAGATACAAATTTAACCATGAGAGTGAGCATCTCTTGGACATGGACGTACAGTGTTTTGTAAAATCTCCTACTTTAAAGTGAACATGCATACTTTGAATTCTAAACCTTCATCATTTTACTGCAGGCTTATGTTGCATATAAAAATGGAAGCCTCATGGACTTGGTGGATAAAAATTTGTCTGGCATTTATGATGCAAAACAAGCCATCATCATCTTAACCTTGGCCGTGATGTGCACGAATATATCTCCTACTCTAAGGCCAAGAATGGCAGACGTTATGAGTATTCTTGTCGGTGAGAAAACCTTTTGAGCACCGTATAAGTAGCTTCTCTCTATCTACTTTTTTGAAATTTCAATGAATTTTCCAGAACCATTTTTTCCAATCAAGCATAAAGTTTGTTTTCTGCTTCTTCCAGGAAGCAACCAATATTCTACTCAGACACGTGAGAAATGCATGGCCCGCCCTCAATAATTTGCCACCACAAATCCGAGGACCGCGTTCATGCATTCAATTATTTTATACAAAAATCAGTGTGCAAGGTGTTTACATTCATTGTGCGGCTCCCACTTAATTAATGATTTGATTTATTAGATCAGTATTTTTCTGTTAAATTATTTATAAGAAAAAAGAAAGATGGTACAACCTGTTGCATTATTAAAAGGGGAAGAAGGCTTAGTGTGCGTATTGCCAAAGTAAACTAGAATCTGAAAGCAAAGCACAATGGTTGAAACCCGTCCAAGACTTCTTGCTGAGTTTATACTCTTGAGTTTCCTCCTTTGGCAGTTTGGATCTTCGGATACAACTACTGAGTTGGATCCTGAAGAAGGTATACGACTGTTTTGTTTCTCATCCGTCTCTCTTTTTTATTCATATTTCTCTCATTTGAATTAATAAATATTTTGTTATGAGAGCTACTTAAGAACGAAAAATATGCTAGAGTATTGAGCCCAAATTCAACAAAAAATTGAAAGATGTGACATATTCATTGTTGTTTATGCTATTCTCATATTGAAGTACCAGAGACATTTCCACTGTTTTTGTTTTTTTGAATATATTTTCTAACTAAGTTACTAGAGGCATTCTCGGATCTTGAAAATGCAAATTCGTTTCTCGTTTTCATTTTTCAAAAATGTATTGCGAAAATGTTACCAGACGGACTCTTATTTTGCTGATAATACATACATGCAGGTGGACTCATTTTAGTGTTGCTTTATTTCACAATCCTTGATGCTACAGCTCGAGTTTGAGATATTAACATTCAATAACTCTCTCTCTCTCTCTCTCTCCCTCTCTCGCAGTGGACGTCCTCAATTTGATGGTATATAAGTTACAGTATAACAGGCCATTAGACTTGAATAGCTCAATATGCCATGATCCAGACTCGGATGCTAACAATTTGAATATCAAGTGCACAGAGGACTGTGGACATGACAAAAACAGATATTGCCATGTCAAGGAGTTGTAAGTCACAATAATTTTTAATTTAACAATGTAATTTGTCTAACTTTTAACAATGTAATTTGTCCAACTTTTAATTCTAACAATAATTTTTCTCAAATGATTTGTGTTGCAGTTCCTATACCGGCGCGGCTTTAACTGGTTCTATACCTAAAGAAGTGGAGGAGCTTAAGCATTTGGAGAAGCTGTAATTATTTCATATCATTATTCCAACAAGTTAAAAAAAAAAAAAAAAAAAGGAGTTCAGAGAATTGAATATTTATAAATAAAAAAAAAGATTCAGAAAACTTGTCTTTGCCAGTTATTTTGGTGCTGGAATTAATATAGAAGGGATCGTGACATCTTTCTTTTTTTTAAAAAGTCTTTCAACCGATCCCTTCTATATTAATTGTCACGAAAAAGGGAAACCAAGCCATTAAATATATACAATTTAATTTCTTATTTATTAATTGTATTAAATTGGTATACAATTTAATTTTCTTCCATTCTTCTTTAACGATATATCCATTAATTTGTATTAATTGTATTAAATTGCTAAACAGTGATTTATCCAGCAATCAGCTTACCGGTTCCATACCTAATACCTTGCGCCATCTTACTTATCTGTAAGTATATATCCAATATTGGTTTCTTTCTTTTTTCTTTTTTTCTTTGGTTACAAGGGAGACCAACAACTACTATAACTCACATCAATTGAGTGTGGGGATAAATTCTTTCCCAACTACTTCACAGCTCCTCTTCGGGAAACCAAGCCACTAAATATATACAATTTAATTTCTTATTTATTAATTGTATTAAATTGGTATACAATTTAATTTTCTTATTTATTTATTATATTATATTGGTATACAATTTAATTTTCTTCCATTCTTCTTTAACGATGAATCCATTGCTTGTATTATATGAAAATATTAATGTTGATTCTGTGTACTTAAACAGTTATTTATACGGTAATAAGCTTACCGGTTCCATACCTGCTACCATGTGGAATTTGTCATCCCTCAGAGAATTGTAAGTGTATATACATAAATATAAATAAGGACTTAAGGATTCACTTGAGGGCCAGCCCTTACCTCAAAACATAATATGTATTATATGAAAATATTAGTGTTGATTCTGTATGCTTATATGCTAAACAGTGATTCATCCGACAATCAGCTTACTGGTTCCATACCTGATACCTTGTGGTTGTCATCCCTCATACGATTGTAAGTGTATATACATAAATATACACTTGAGGGCCAGACCTTGCCTCAAAACATATACATATTTATTGAATTTATATGAATGTATATTAATTAGTTTTCATATATTCAGAGACCTTTCAAGAAATCAACTGACAGGAGGCATATCCGGGCGCATTGGACACTTGCGCAATCTTACTATTCTGTAAGTATATATATATTCAATGTCCGGGAGACCAACAACTACTATAACTCACATCAATTGAGTGTGGGGATAAATTCTTTCCCAACTACGCTTCTCAGCTCTTTTTCGGGTATTTAACCCTTAAATTTGAGATTTTTCTTTAATCAAATTAAAAACTCAAAATAACCAAAACCCTATAACACCTAAGCCTAAATGAACCCCACCAATGCATCTAGCCTTTAAGTCACATTTCCAACGATCCAACCACGAATAACAGCAAACAACTATTATTACCTTGATTGGAAGAGCAAACAACCTTCTAAGATTGAAAGGCAGGGAGGAGCAAACAATCTGAAAACCAAAGATGAGATCTGGTTCCATAAGATGAAAAAGATTACTACACCAAAAGGCAGACATGGAAAACCCATCAGATAAAAAATCGGAGATAAAAAAGATAACCAGAGATGTTGCCTGATTCAATCAAGAAAACTGATGATCTAAATCTAGACACTGAAAACCCATTAGTATTCTCAAGGAAATATAATGAAAACCAAAGAAGAGACCAATTCCAGAAATTACTCTAATAAAAAACTTCCTTCTACCTATCAAGGAACTCACGATCCCACAATACCATATGATGGAACTCCAAAGTTTCAACAACACATACAACAAGGGTCCAAAGGTGGGAGATCTAGCCAAAATCTGAACAGGAGGCTGAGAAGCAGTCCCAAAAAACTAGGGTTGAGACACGGAGAAGAAGGGGCAATCTGGCTCTCTTTTGGACGAGTTTTCGAAAGGTTTATATGAAAATATTATTAAAATAAGTTTTTTCTTAATTTCACAACCACTTTTAGATACTTATTTTTGAAGTGCAGCGATCCCACCTCACACTAAACCAGCAAACCGTTCAGTTTAAGTAATTGGCTGTACAAGTAGATACTAATCATCAATCAATGCCAACATTAATATCACCTTTACTACTGTTTTTGCAAAAGGGAGCTAGTCAAACTTATTTGTGTTATTGTGTGAGTGGAGCCGAATGAGCTAGCTGCAGCTTCCTTTGTCAAGTTGGGACTGATAATGACATGTTGAGACTGATAAAAAAGCCCAAATATTAAGGAAAAATAATGAAAATAACTTTTCTGCATTACACACCAATGTCTATCCCAAATACCTTTAATAGGCATGGTAGAAGAATTAGTATCCCAAAAAAAATCATAAGGCACTTTTATAAATTTGTATCTAAATAATCAGTGGCTAGTATATTGAGTTTTTTCTTTGGGATTTAGAGAAAGCGAATCAAGGAATGTACAACATCAACTGTTAAGTCAGACTTATTCTTGTTTTGGTCATTGTAGTTTGTCTATGAATTTCTAATAGGTGTGCTTCCCCAAACCTTCTATTTTCTGTTTTTAAGGGAAAATCTATTGAAAGAATTTAAGTTTTTTTTACCAAAAACAAGAGAAGAATTTAAGGTTTAAATACATCGGTTCAATTAACTTCAATGAATTTAAACATGGTTTTTTCCTCCTCCTTTTTTCTTACATGGGCTGACTTTCTATCTAATCTTAAATTCTATATTGTAATTTGTATATATCTATAATTTCAGTATTTCTTACAACTCGGCTTAACTCGACTTTAAGTTTAATCTGTTTCTACCCCTCTCTCCGAGCTTTAACAAGGTAACATCTAATAACTTAGCTCCATTGTTTTCTGGCCAAAAAGCTATCTGGATCAGAACTTCCTCAGCGGACGGATACCATCATCTTTGGGTGCACTGAGTTCTCTGCAAGTATTGTAAGTAAACTCTCTGCAACTTTTTGTTTTCACCATTGCACTTAATTCTTCGACTTTCTTGGACTTGATATGATCAGTTGGTTCCTTTGTATAACATTTCAAGTTCTTCTTTATAATCTGTGAGTTTTGCAGGTCTCTGTCTTATAATAACTTGTCAGGTCCAATTCCCAACCAATTAGGAAACATCACAGCCCTTCAAATTGTTAGCAATAGTCAATTAATGAGGATTAGTTTGGCACCTACAATGGTTGGTAGCCTACAATGTTTAGTCAATTAATGTGTTAATTATGTAGTAAATTAATGTGTTAATTATGTAGTCAATTAATGTTTGGCACCTACAATATTTGGGGGGCTTGACTAGTTTGGTTGCCTAATTAGTTTGGTTGCCTAACTTGGTTGGTTGCCTAACTTGGGGGGCTTGACTAATGTCTTAGGAACTTGTATATATATGTGTTGATTGTAAGTAATGAAACATAAGTGAAAATCAGAAAATATTCTACAATTCTCATTCTCTCTACACTTTCCACTCTCTACTCTCAATATTCTCTATGTTTTGGCATGGTATCAGAGCCTAATGGCTAATCCTTAAGATCCTCTATCAAATTGAGAGTCGTTGGCATTTTTTCATGTTGCTGTAAATTCTCTTGTTTCCATTAAATTTCCTCTCTTTTATCTGTATGGGCAATAAGTCCCTTGGCCACGATGGCCTAATTTGTTTCCTATGGGCAGTACGTTCCTTGATCACCATGATCTCTTTCCTCCGTGAGCCTCGTCATCGCTCACCGAGCCATTTCCTTTCCTCCGCGAGCCTCGTCACCGCTCGCTGAGCCTTTTCCTACTCGGCCTTGTCTCTGT